GATGGTTTTCTTTAAAACCTTACGATATCTTTCACACATTATATCCAACTGTTAGATGGTATGTATTTTACAATCATATTATTAAGTTGAGAGCTTATAATTCGCCGGCCTAAACAGTACCACAATTAGTGACCGAATTATTTATTCAAACTTACGTGGGAAAACATTCCAAAAGTTTGTTTACAGAAACTTTGATTTTTCTAAGATTGTATACTCTAATCGGTAATCAGTCAATTCTGATGCAGTTGTTTTTCCAATTTATCTCTCCTGTGGTTTATTAAAGAATAATTTGGACAATCGTCATACATAATAAATTTGCATATACTAATTATAATATAACAAATTTCTATCCATTGATATATTTATCAGTTTTCGGTATATGTATATATTATTAAGAATTACGGCTAGGAGGTGGTGCATCTTGCAATGTATCTTCTTGTTGTTATATGCTTGCAACATCTGATGCATTATATGCTGGCCTTCTAAAGGAATTTCATGATATCTCAAAGAATGGTCAGATTTTGAGGATTCTCATGTTAGATCTCGTGTTTACCAAAGTCATATGCTAATTAAACTATCAGTTATTTTTCTATTAAAAGATACATTTCACTCAATGACTGAAATACTCTGGTTATGTATATCGAATTCCTGATGTAATATAATCTTGTTATAAGTTAATCTTTGTATGGATTTTCAGATGTATCCAAATTCCAGTGAACCGTTGACGTATTTTGAAATTTCCTCGAAGCAAACGGTATGTAAAGATTAATAATGCGCAAATAAATGCAGAGATAAATATATTAAAATGTTGGAATTGAATTGATCGAGTTAAATCTGTTCAGTGTGAAATCTCCCGTCAGCTTTTTTATACAGCTTTTGTTTAATTTCTAAAAATTCTTATTCATTGGATATGTGGCTGAGAATATTTGTTGATGAGAATTTTCTAACTTTTGAACTTCTTTTAAATAGTAAATAATACTTGATCTTTTTTTGTAGAAGTAAATGTGTTTTTGAATTATTTCTTTTGAGTCCATTTCAGACATGCAACTTTTTATAGAGATAAGATAATAATTACAAAGCAACAAGCAGCTTGCTTGTTCGTTGATTTATCCTACATTATAATGGATAATTTTTTATCTGACTTCCCTTTTTGACATTTGAAATTGTATTTGCAGAAAAATGTCACTGATGATGAGAATGGCATTGGCAATGTGGTATGTGATACAACCAAAAGGAAAATAATTGAGTCTGACCATGAATTATCATCCGACTTGGTAGAGGAGATTGAAACACTGAAGAAAAAGTATGAACCATTTAAAAAACCACAATAAAGTAGATAAATGAACGGGTAATCAGCACCTGACCATAAGCTAGGGGATCTTCATAACATTTTATAATACCTTACCATTGATTAATCGTAGTTATTATTTTTTTTTGTTTTTTTTATCGAAGTATAGGTGGAGTTTAGAAAATTCGAGGATTTGAAATTTAATGTCAGATGAAATTATGAAATTACAAAACATGAAATTAAAAACAAATGAAAGCGTTCTAGATAGTATCGGTTATTTCCATCAATTAACTAATAAGAAAAAGTTATGACTTGATCAACCGTATCATTCGCACTCTGTAATGTTTTGCGTTTAAGGGAACTTAACCTTTTTTTCTTTTCGCATTGAATATAATTTTCAGTAAAGAGCCATTGTTGAAAAGGGCTAAACAGTCTCAATAAGTTTTTGAAGGTACGTAAATTAGATATGCTAAAATGTGAAAATCACAGAAGCCATTGAGAGAATAATTATTTTTATTTCCTTGCTTACTCCCTGTTCCATTTTCGATAAAACAACACATCCTTTCCTAAATTATTTAAATTTTTTTACAGGCATTCATTAATTCAACAATATGAAAATATTGCAAGCTATACAGATTTATTACGCGAAAAGGTTAACTTAAAAATTTGTTTCAGAAAATTCGTTTATTATTATTGTTTCCTTTTTTGAGAAACATATTTCACCGCTAATTTTATTCTTTCGATTACGTAAAATATTCACTGAGCCTATTTTTGCGGCGTTTCTCATGCATAATACATTGCCTTTCAGTTCGAACTGTGCAAGATTTCGAATTCAAATTAAAATTATTTCGATGACTAATGGCATAAGTAAAGCAGTCTTGCTTAATATCTTTCTGAATTCATTTTGAAATTCCATACAAATATAAGTAATCCACCGTTTGACAACCAATAGAAGTAGCTATAATAGATTTTGAGTAGATTGTTGCAGATGATTGCTGTTATAAATATGTCTAAATTGTCTGTTGGACATACTTTTTTCTATTATTTTTGTAGAGATATTATTGTTCATTTTGTTTGACATTGTTATTTTCTTCAGTTTGTTGTACAGAAGCAATTTTTAGCGTTTGGAAGACTATTAAGTTGGGAGAATAGAAGGAATGCAATAGCATAGGAAAGAAATATTGAGATTATTTAGTATATTTGTTAGTGAATGATTGAAAGAGACTGACGATTAACGGTTGATTTTCAGTTCAATAATCAAAGTCTTTTTTGCTGTGCGAGTTTGAAAACTTCTTGGAGTTATTTATAAAATACCGGGATTATTAGTTGATTCGTACAGACTGCATTAGCAAGATATCTAACGATTATTCTGAGAAACATTGAGTAAACCTATTTCACAAGCTTATTTGACACTGGAACCTACTGACAGGCTGCATTTAGTAATCGAACGTTCTTTGTGGTCAGAGGAAGGATTTTTTAGTTTAAAATTATGTTACACTGCTATTCTTCATTTATCAGATGTTTTTACTTCCAATGTTTAAATTAATGAAGTGTGAGATCTAATTTCAAAAATGGCTTGCAGCAAAATTGTTATGTATATTGTCGAAAAAAATTTCTTCGAGCAAAAAAATAGATTACTTTCTTCCCCTGACAGATAACTATTTCTAGAACAAGTTACTTGATTTTTCCTCAAAGTAAACTTTTTTGGAATGATTAAAACTAAGAAAAAAAATTCTTTAAAAGTCATATATATCTATGCATCACTAACCTCTTTTATCGAATTTAAATTTTTCAATCCATTTGATTGTTAATGCTTTCCCCCAGTTTTGTCCTCCTGATAGCAATGAAGATAATCCTTCTTTTATCTTTTTGTGTCATATTTCCAGTGTGGTTCTTTTTTGTTAAATTACGAACTCACGTAGCCGTTTTCATTGCATGTCACTTTACCTTTTTAGTTTATTAATCCTTGCTGATGATTACTTGCAGTTTTAGGATGTATATCGTGTACAATTTTTTGGTACGAACTTTTTCTTACGAGTTGTTTTCAGTTTCAATTTTTTGTGCAAAGCTTGATTTTTTCAATGAATTTTTTTTTACGTTTTTTCTGTACGACTGAATTTTCGATGTAATAAATGTGTATTGCCTGATATTGTTATGCAGTTAGCAACATTATCGTTCCTTTCAATCTTATGTTTGAAATACAACACGTAAATATATGAAGAGCAAATTAATTTTAAAGAATTTGATTAAAAATTCAAAATATGTTGGATAAGATGGTTTTCATGTTGTATTATTCTATGGATGTTTTCCAGTTGATTTTTCAAGCCGATCTTTTCCTTTTTGTTCGAAATAATATGCAAAATGTCTTTGCCAGTCATGTTTTCCTGATTGAAATCTCACGTAAACCTTCCAAAATTGTCACAAAATTAATCTTAACACTTTCACGATTCTTTGCAAAACTTGTCCTAATCTCTGATATATTTTGATGATTTGTTGTAAAGTCCATGAATCATTTGATCTATTCATTCTTTTTGCAGATATATGAATATTTGAAATGAACTTTTGCACGTATTATTTTCGAATAAAATTTCATCAAATAAATTATTCTATGTCATTATTTCCTCGAAAATGAAATGAATAGCTTCAAAAGCAGATAGTGAAACTTCGCAACACTGAGCTGAAATTTGAAAATGGAGGAAGAAGTTTCATCTCACCAATGATACAAGAAGGAAGGTAAAATCTCTTCTTTCAGGTAAAATCCATCGATTGAAGTAGGCCACTCTGAAACGTTCAGGAATAGTTCCTGAAGCAGTTCATTAAAAAGAGGTGAAGTGTTTCATATGTGATGATCGGGTCTACTCTCCATTTATATTGCCGATGAAGTCACTTTTATTTCACCAAATGTTTCAATTCCGATATACTCGTCGCTCATTTTCTCCGATTCTTAGGATTCCGTTCTCAATATTCAACAAAAGAAAGAAAAAAGATAGGAAGTTTATTTAATTCATACTACCATCTTGCTCAAGTCCTGATCTAAATTGAGATCTTTTTTGGACAGATAGTATTTGTGACACTAAAACGGAGTTAAATAGACTCCCATGAATAGTGATGACCGGCTTTAATGTAGGACATTTGTTGCAGAAAAACGAGCAGATTTTCTAGGTCAAAAATTAAATGTACAACAATGGAACGCTAATATATGCGCAGGAATTCCAGCAATTCTTTTTCCATTTCCAATGTGTTTTTTCGTTGTACTATCAGCCTTAAACGCTTACTGGAAACTTTTAAATAGAGTTATAATGGGTGTAAGATGGAATTGAGCGTGACCGTCTGACGAAGATTGTCCTCACACTTGCCGAGACATTTTGGGAGACTGTCGACAAGGACTCGATGAATGCGAAGGCATTTCTAAAATTAGTTCATGTTAGTTGCAAAAAACTTCACTATAAACTTTCCAGACAGACATTTATGGCAAATAAATCAAGATCGATTTATTCTTAATTTCTACCATTCATTTTTCCAACTGCAATTTTTTTCTTTTGAAATATTACCATAATCAAATCTTCATACAACATCGCCATTCCACCAAATCGATTACTTGCAAAGGGAAGCATCGCATCCTCTCTGGAGACGGTAAGGTTTTCAAAATTTTTGATGTTTCTTCTCAAAACACTTTATAAACTACTTTAATCTTGATATTCTGATTCTATTTTTAAGATAAATTTCATAAATTTTGTGCAAATTAAAGAAACCTTCTCTAAAAGACAGAATAATCATTCCTGAGAAATCTCCTGCAAAATCGCATTTTTTGAATTTTAAGCAAATCGAATCTCAGGAAACTCTCAACAATTACATGGATCTGGATGTTCGCGAGAAAGCTTATCAGTTTGCAATTATCACCTCGTTTATCATTGGCGCTGTGCCATTTGTGGCATTGATAGCACTGACACCAACTGTAAGCCGATATATCAGCACTGTCAATCATCAGCTTCAAAATGATCTCTTTTTCTGTGAGGTGAGTTGAACACCTCAGACAGATTGCATTTGATCCCATTTCATCCGGTCATCAATTCGAACCCATTACTGGAACATTGATACAGCATGTCAGGCATACTTTTACAGCCTAGCAGTTCTCTTTAGAACTGTCGTACGGATCGAGAAGTCGTGAAGGTTGAGTGATTAGCGTTGTTAGTATTGCTGCGTTGAACAAAATAGGCATTTCAATTGAAAACAGTGCAGCTCAAATTGCAATAGACTCGGTTCATTTGACGGCGATCTCTTTTTCCAGGAAACTGCGTTTAATTTTTACGATTACGTGAGTACGAATAAGAACCATGACGGGAATCGCGGTGAGTCGGGAAATAAAACGAACAGTGTTGCGGGGGTGAGTCATTGTGTAGCTTCTAGACTTCTAGACCAGCGATGGTATAAATTGGAACTAAACGCATGCGACGACTGTTTCTACCCAACAAAGCCTCTCTGGAGAGAGGAGAGAGAGGCCTGAGGCGAGAACGGATCCATAGGTGGAATTAATTCCGATCTCTCTTCTTTAATAAGTGGAGCAATTTCTATCATACTTTCCACCCTTGAAATCGATTTCTTTTAGCTTGATACCATCTTCGAATATTTGGATTGCTCTCAGAATTTCGAGAAATGTCAGGAAAGGTGGCTACAGTCTAGTCGAAAAGTGCGAAGTCTACCGATTAAAATACAGGAAGAAGTGCCAACAGCAGCAACTTTTCTCGTTAAGTATCCAACGGATAGAGCCCAGTCGGAACAAGTGTCCGACCAACCAAACGAAGTGACGGTGGCGGAAGTTGATTTCAAACAATCCATTATGAGCACAATGGCAGAGGATTCCGGTGACGCACGGCATAATGCTGCCATGGTGGCCACGGAATATGACGATAACAGTGCAGACTTGCAACCGGAATCGGCACACTTCCATGCTTACAGATTGACGTCTTCGACTAAAAAGCATCTTCAAGGATTATCGGTGACATCTGCACCTGTGACACAAACTGTGCAGTACAGCATGACCGGAAGAAGTGGAGGTGATCGAGAATGCAGGTATCATATTTTAGATTAATACACGGATGAGAATGAGGTGTCTTACAAAAATGTGAGTATTGATAAACTCTTCTTCACTCCGACGTCTTCTTGCCTTGAGGCTTTCAAGATGTTTTGAAGCATCGGGATCGATAGATGACAGTAAGTTAAGATAGGGAGCAATTGAAGGATAGAAGTTAAGTCGAACACTGAATCTTGTGCGTGATAGACGAACGTTTATTAAGAAGTCTGCTCCATTTACCATCCCACCATTCTCCGTTTTCCGTGTGGGGATTTCAAATTTAAAGTGCATTATGAGGATCAGATTTTTTTTGAAATCTAATTTGCATAGCTGTCGGAGAATGGCTTTGTATTAGATGAGTCCGCAAGTCGTTCATTGCTTCCAATTATTATTATCGGGGAGGACAGATCTGTACTTCCTTACATATTGCACTCTTTTGTAACTTCATTCTACACAAAATTTTATGGTAAATTCTTTAATTTAGGTGCACTGCTTTACCTGGGCCCAAAGGCATGCCCGGCCGAAAAGGACTTAAAGGCATTCCGGGTACACAGGGAGCTCCCGGATTTCCGGCACGTTTGCCTTGCGAACCACCAGTTGACTTAAAAAAGATATGTGCTGATCCATGTCCAGTTGGCGAACAGGGGAAACAAGGACCAACGGTGGGTTTCTTAAACTCTACTCTAAACGCATTAATTGTTTTTCGGCATTACAAATAATGAGTCTAAAGGATACCTGTTTCAGGGTCTACCGGGAGATAAAGGTGCTACAGGAATCCCCGGTGTCCACGGCAAAAATGGTGAGGATGGAAAAATCGGCCCTCCAGGGCCAAGAGGTCCACCAGGAATTCCAGGATTGGATGGAGATGTAGGTGAACCAGGGATTGATGCAACGCCGACGCCATTCATTCCAGGACCTCCTGGTCCAAGCGGTGAGGTTGGGCCTGTCGGACCACCTGGTTTGTCCTTTAATTTTTACTAACTTGAATTGACACAACTATTTGAAAGTTCTAATATTTTCATTGCTGCGATTTCAGGACCGCGTGGAATGCCTGGAATTGACGGACCACCAGGACCAATAGGTAAACGTGGGCCTCCAGGTGAAGATGGTTTACCCGGAAGTCGAGGGTCTCCAGGACTACCGGGACCTATTGGAAAAGTTGGTCCAGATGGAAACGTTGGAGTATGAGATTTTATCCTTTTTTTTCAGAAATTCACAAGAGAGCTTTTACTTTTGTTACACCGAACTTTTCACTTCAAAGGCGACTTTAATATTTTGCTTTATAAATTATGGGGAAATAAGGAATTTTAATGTATTTGAAATCAAAAAATGGAAGATTGAGATTCATTGTTAAATTGCAAGAAAGTATTTCGCTTCAATCGAATAGATGACAGTAAGTTAAGATAGGGAGCAATTGAAGACTTTCAATTCATATTCAGATTGAAACTTCTACTTTTTCTGGCTGGAATTAATCAAAATTACAGGTTTGTCCAACGTATTGTGCAACGGATGGAGGTGTGTTCTTTGTTAAACCTCCGGAATGGTTCGAAGATTGATCGTAACAGAAGTTGTGTTGATGAAATTTGTTTTCAATTAAATTTATTCCATAAAAATTCCCATTAACCGTTCAGTATGTTGTATAGAAATGTCATCACGCTTCCGCACTACTACACGCTGTGCGCCATTACTGCGTGAAGATTTCTGCAAGCGCAGTAATGTTACTTTTAAAAAGCAACAGTGATATAAACTTTATTAAAAGAGTGCTATCACATCCATCTGCTCTTGTTGCTCTTCATCTGCAAGGTAGAATCGAACTCGCAACTAATTGAATTTTCATTCTTTACTCTATACAGAAGAAGTATTCGTAATTCCTCTCAGAGATATTCGTAAGAAACGGCTTCTCTTCCAAATTACTTTTATTGCTACTCGAACATCGAATGTTCAAGTTTTAGCTAACTTCATTAAATTTTAAATTATTGAAGTTTTTGTGTGTGTTTGATTGGAAAGGCAGACAGTGTCAGCTGTCGTTTTTCAAGTGATTTCATTTTAATGAAGGGGATAGGGAAAGAAATGGATTGGCGTGCCTGTCGCCAATTTCAATCCATAAATTATTCAGAATGCTCTTTCCTTCTACGGCTAGCTGTTGCAGCAAAATCAAAAAAAAACCTGAAGAGGTCTCTCTTTAAGGGCGCATTTTTTATTTTGAAGAATGCCAAAGAGGTCACGATTTTACGAATCACAAAACACCCAATTGTTGTCGATAGGTAAACATTTTTAACTTCTACAAATAATCATTTTAAGATTATAAATCCTTTTTTCAAATCTTTTCAACATTTCAATAACTTTTATCTGTTCTGACTACTGTACTGTCATAGCAGGTACTATCCTCCATTCGGATAAAACTAAGTTAAGCTGTAAAGAAAGTGGCAAATAAGTAATTGATGTCAAAATTAGTGTCAACGGTTTCTTTCCGAACTGTTTCCTCGTCCTAAATTTAATTCCTACAACTATGCATTTGATCCCCTCGTGAATTCAAGAGAATATTTGCTAATTTGAGCTGCAATAACCTGATCATTGCTATTGCACTTATACTTTCTCGATCCCGGAAACATCCTGTTGATCTTTGTTGCATTGCTAATGCTAAGATGAGAAGGATGATATGATTGTCCCCTGCGATTCTTGTTTAATTAAATAAGAAAGACTTCAAGTCTTCTGACGAATGAAATGGTATGATTTACCGTACCATCAGAACACTTCTCAGTGATTCGAGATTCATTTTTGGTAAAATATTACTATATCGACGGCTGTCCAAGTCTCCGTGCTTCATTGTCACTTCAACTGTTTCAAATCGATGTCAATTTTATTTTACTTTTGGATGCTGAAATATTATTTTCTATTGTTATCAACATTGTCAGGAAGATTTGGAATCAAAATGACCTTCAGCAAATATTGTAAAAGCTTATTTCTTTCTCTTCTGATCCGCTGTTGGCTACCAAAGACATTCCGGAAATATGAAAAAGGAAAGGAACTTCATGTCACTAATCCTTCCCCTAATGATACGTTAGTGCCTTGAATTATTTTTGAAGACTAAATAAGTCCGATTTTGAAGATTAAATAAGTCCGGTCTATGAATCAGTAGTTTCGACTAACACATAACCTTTCCGTTACAAGGAAAATCCGCAAGACGATCTTTGAGTCTAGAAAATGAAAATCTGCTAAGAGAGGTTAAGATCACTTTTAGTTAGAAATATAACAGCCTGTTGGAACCAACACTACTATATTTAACTTGGGATAATCGTTTGATAAGATGTCTGACGTCAACTGATATTTTTCCTGATGGCAGTATAACGGAATGTTCAAATAGCAGTCTTCTTCACAACATTTAAGCAATGCTGCTCTGATCGACACATGGCTATATGTGTTTTGGCTTCTCGAATGCACACTATTTTACCGTTCAATGATAATATGTATGAGAATCCGGTTTCTGGTACATGTTTTCACACTTATTTCTCCATTTACTTGCAAGTTTGTTCGCTTATTTTTTTTCTCTTTTGGTTTACATCCATTTATTTTGTACATTAACTTTATAATCATTGTATCAAATTTGAACTTATTAAATACAAACGTTTGGAAGTTTCACCAAAAAAATAAATTTTAGGAGTTTGTACGTTTCAGGTATACATTAATTTGTTTCCTACATGTTAGAAGGTCGATTTATATATTCGTTTTCACATTTAACATTGAAATAATACCTATTTAAAAGCAACGACACTTCTGACAGCATCTTTCCTTCGGAGAGAGATCAAAAGAGAGCCGAAATCGGTTTCTGTTTTCCTGAACAATTCTTGGGAAACAAATTGGACGTTTACAGTGAGCTTGGCTCTGTAGCAAAGCATTCTTTCACTTTTCTGTTCTGAGCGTGAGTTGAGAGTTCAGGCTTGGCTCATTTATCAGCTGCGTATGTTAATGTTACTTAGGATTCCTTCTTCTTCCACACTCTGTGAACATTTAACGATATGAATCAGGAAAGTCATTTCTGTTCGATCAAAATTCCAAAAATAAGCTGCGCGCTCCATGCTGCATGCATAACTGCAGGTGCTCATTTTAGTGCAATATAATAATACACCTGGGAGTCACTCGCTTAAACGGGAGTATGCCTTAATGATAAGTTGATAACGAAGGCATTAATGTTAATCAATAATTTGTCCAATCTGAAATATATTTTGAAGTTTTTCAAACTTAGCTAATAAATTTTGCTGCACTTTCCAGGTTTTGCAAACATATCATAAACGAACCAATTCTGTCGAATGCGGCATGATCAATCGAAAGATGTTTTGAAAATGGAAGGAACGACCATCCATGGGGTTGTATGTCAAGTGATTTGTTTTTATTGCATTCTAACGAATAAATTTAATACGCGGACAGTTGTCAGGTTCAGAATGCTCAGAGCAAAGTCGCTGAAAAAGGAAATTCAATCTTCAGAGGTGGTGACATGTACATTTTAAATCCTTTTCTTTATCCTGTCAAATCCGGGTCCAATTTAAACTGCACTGACATTCGAAAAATTGTGGTCTATCATTTAAAATCAAATTTCATTTTAATTTAGTGTTCAAAATGTAAATTAGTTTCACCACAAATTTTCGCAGCAGACTGGATTTTTAATGTAATAATTCTAAGATGAAAAATGTTCATTCTTTTTTCATCCCAAACTGCAAATTTCTTGTCACCGATCTCTCGAAACGAATGAACAGACAATGGCAGCAGCGATGTTTACAGATGGGTCTCGAGGGGACAGATGGACATGTCGTCGTCCATTGTGTCACCAAAAGCATTGGCGGCAAAAGGACTGAGTGATCAGCGATTGATCAGTGATCACTCACTGATTCGGGGGAAAGAGCCAGTTGCAGCACTGAAATGCCTTCCTCTCTTTTTCGTTTTGCTTCTCCTCGCACTCCGTGATTTCTGAAGGACTCGTGTGACCGTACCACGGACTGCTCTGAATCACCCATCAGTGTTCATGTCCCTTCCCTCCACCGTGACTTCCTTCAACTACCGATGGTGTGACAACCAAAAACTGATGGGACAATAGCAGTTCGAAAATAACGAGAACCAATGACGAACGAATTAGTCTGTTTGTTTCAATTTGTGCAGTAAAGAAGGCTTTTTGAACGTCCAAATTAGGACGGGAAGCAAATGTGGGAGGCGCCGGAAGATAACACACATACACGGAAGGACGCAACAGCCCTTCCTTCACGTAACTGTAACGGATTCAGTGTTTCACGACAGAATTGAACCATTTGTCGCACTTCTCGTTCCATCATGGCAGATCATATCATTGCTTCTTTTATTCCTCCCTCCACTCTTTTCTACACCTGTTTTTCCCTTCCTCCTCCACTATTTATCAACTCTGCTTTCTCCTCATGCTCGCCATCTATGATTGATAACGCTCTCCTCTTCAATTTTCTTCCCTCCTTCCTCATCAGGTAAGAAAGAGAGAAACTGTTAAGGTAATGATGACAACGATGCTTACCTGTGATGAATGCGCTAACATCACAATTATTTCACAATTCACTAGAAACAAATGGTTAGTTCGTTTGTCACAAAACCATCACTGCTTCCAATTTCCACCTTCACTTTCCTAGAAAGAGTGAAAAGGTTCACTAGAAAGGATAAGCTGGCATTTGCTGCTTGTCGGTCACTCTTGTCCAACAATGACCACCGTTACTCTGTCCATCCTCGTCTTTCATCTCCTCATTGAAGAATTGTCCTGATATTCAGTGCTTGGGACACTACAGACAAGGTCATTTCCTTCAGATTTTTACTGTTGTTGTTCATAAGCGATCTGATATTTCATTTGCTCTGCTGGTGAAAGGTGAAAGGTCACTTAGAAGCATGCCAGCTGTAACACTTCACAACTATATCTGTCTTTCTTAACTCTTTGCTCTGATTCGAGTTGCCTGAAAATACGTGCATTATATTTTAGATTTCAAACTGAAGCATTCATGAGATGCCTGAATGAAAAAAAGTGAAATATTTGGGTTAAAGTTTTCTTCGCTTATTCTTCCTCTGCCATCTTTATGGCATACAATTGTTAGTCAGTGAAGTGTTATTAATTTTATATTCATTTAAATGTATGGGTGGATACATTTGTGGACCAGAAAATTTTGTGGCGTCACATCATTTCGGTGCAGCATTACTTCACAAATTCTGCTTGGTGAACTCAAACAACAGTACTGACTGTCAACATTGATCTTTCCATACCATAAAGGCGGATCTCCGGCCTCTTTAAGGTAGGTTGATTTTGCTGATATGAACTTCAACTGAAGGTGAAATGAAGAGAAGCAAAAGCGATAAGCACAGTCATTCAAAACCAGTTTCCGGCGCCTTCCTGTCTCATCCATCATTTGTTTATCATCAATATAAGTGACATTATTGGAGTGCTTCTGACCTTCTGCTCGACCTGATTCACAAGAAGCATCAATCCATGCTTCATTTAAAGATACAATTGCTCTGTTCCAACTCAAATAATTCTTTTCTGCTTCCAGCCCAAACATCTGTTGGTTCCGTTACATTAGTAAGGACAGAAAAAAGCCGTATTAGGAACAGATGTTAGCTTGCTTTATAAAACCAACCTCAAACATCCTCCTTAAATTGAAGAATTTGATGAGCATGCAAAGCAATCCCAAAATTTTGTTGGAGGAAAATTGAAGCTTGGATTGATCGGAAATTGGAAAAGAAGATCAAATCCGAACTGCTAATTTTGGATGAAAAATTAAGATTCGAACTTTCAACTTTCACATTTATTTCCATGTTTTCGATAAAGAGATAAAAAGCTTAAAAATATGAGGATAGCTATCGTGAAATTGTGGGCAATTGAATTTAATGTTCAGCTCTACGAACTAAAACACTGTTTGATGAATTTGATATTTAAATGAAATTTTTGTGACTGAAAAAAGAGGAAATGTCAGGTCATCTAATTTAATAGCGAATAAATCTGTATTATTATCCAGTTTGAACGGTCACGGTCAAACTGAATTACTCTTTTCCCTCACTGCAACTGTACTTTCTGGAAATAAGCAAATTTTTCATGGAATAAAGTATTTGCAGTAACTATTTTGTGCTATTACTCGTGACAAGCTATCACGTCCTTATCAGTGCTTCACACACTCCTTTACTTGCTACTTTTTGTCTGAGAGATCAGTCTCACAGTTGAAAACAAATCGATAGTGGAGATATTCCGGATTCAGTGTCAACAATGTACCAACTATTTTGATCAGCTACAGTGGCAATGAATGTCCCTCAGTGATCACTCACCCATTTACTCTTATCAATTCAATTTATAAATTTTCAGAACGGTGCGTCCACAACGTTCATTTCCTTTCCTTGCCTTTCAAACAAACACTTTTCAATGGTTGTGATGATTGATGATGATGATGATGATAATGATGATGGTGATGGCGAGAGTGGTGGCGGTGGTGCTGTTCGCTTATCATAATACATGATCGTTTTCGAATTTTGCTCTTTCTTCCCTCTCGCCCATTCCATCTTCAAAATGTCAATTTGCGCCAGGCTGCCATCCATCTTTTTTTCCCTCTTTTCTTCTCTTCCCTCCCATTGCCACCTCTCACCATTCGTCCGCAAAGGAGAAAGGTACCGTGCATCTGTAATGTTACCTTCCGGTGCTTAGTGAACTCTCCTGCTGGTTCGCAGTTTGTCTCCGCCGAATTCTACCATTCTTCAATCAATAATGTACTAAAGTTACCTGTTATATCGGAGCTTATCGACTCTCTGTCCGATGCTTCCCTCAGTTTACATTTCAACTCGAGCCGTTGCTTAATGGAAGCATTATTCACATTCGATGTCAATGTCGCCGAGCGCCGCAGAGTGATGTTCTAATCGATATGATGGGAAGGAGATATATCACTAAACGCATTAATTATTTCACTTTGCTATGTACTTTTATTTGATAATCCTTGTCTCTCCACAGGTTTGTTCAATTTCGGGGCCTATTTGTTTAACATTAGTCTCCAGTCTCACTTAACTTGATAAATTTCAGGATGACGTATTTCTCATTAAGAACCACTCGGGATAATGAACCCCTCAGATTTCTCCTGAAACGTCTGAAAAGACATGTGAACAAATCACACGAAGTGCAAAGTGAAGGTAAGTAAGTTGTGACCCTCTCGGGTCAATACCTCTCGCGACCTCTTCACCCTTCCACTCATTCATATTCTTTTCAATCAATCATGAAATGCCCAAATAACACACATTTAAACAATACCCAACTATTTTAAATGATTCAAATTTCCACACAGAGAATAAATGTGGTGCAATTCGGAACTCTTTCTTACCGGTCCTTTTTTAATCTTCAAATATCATTCAGCGGCAATATTTCCGGTATGGCAGTTTAAATTTCACTGCAAACAGTCAACCTCAAATCAATCGATGAAACTATTTTGGGAGGAAGAAGCTGGTCAGCAACGCCTACTTCTGTCTGTTATTCATGACAATGAGAGAGAGAGAGAGAAGGAAAAAATATATCGCATCATTATCATATCATATCACCGTAACTCATCAATAGCGACCCAATCTACCCTGTCCTAAATAACACCCTCTGCTGCATCTTCCCATTGCCGTTCCTTAACTGTTCTCTTTTTCTCTAGTTCTCGAAATCATAGTAATGCCATCTCTCCCTCCCTCTTTCTCTTCCTGACTGATCATAACAAAGGAAGGGAAGTTTGGTCAGTTCTGACCATACGGACAGAGAATGACCAGTGTACTTCCATCATTTACAATAGTTGTTGAAATACTTTGCTCACTTTAGCCACGTGTCCCTCTTCTTTTTTCTCTCTATTTTCTTATAATTTAAAATTTCGCTGCAAAAGTGTCGAACACCGACTGTCAGACAAAGATGATGCAGTTGGTGATGAGGAAGGGTATGTGGATGTGATAAGGGAGTGATAATCTCGACGACAGTGATAGCGATCGAAGTGCAACCAGTGGAAGCATCATCGAGTCTGTTGGCTATGTTACATCAACTTAATTGCTCTTTGGAGATTTACAGAAGGACGTGATAAGATCATCGGGCTGTATCGCTCCTCTCCTTCTATCTGTCTGATTGTCCGAATTACTGTCACTCTAGTAAGTGTCCTTCAATTAAAGTCAGTTTTACAAAAGTGTCTCCTTTACGTATTGGTCTGAAGTAGTAAAGAAGTCGTTTAATGAAACCTCTTTTGAATTGCTGCTTATCAGATCGGTTTAACAAATGCAATAGAGCTTCAGCACAGAATTTTAATGCTTTGCACCGGGAGGAAAAGGCCTTCCTCGACATTCGGGATGGACGGGTGGATGGATGTGCCAGACAGGATCCATGCTTTCCTCCCCGATTTTGCTGCTTTCCGACTGCGTCAGGCATACAGTAGATTTATTACACTTGCATTCCTCTTGATGCTTTCTGTCCAGTTCAGTTCTGAATGAATGAACGGATATTTAAGGAATGAAAAAACAGCGCAGTTGTCATTCCTCAAATTTGCACTTAACGACCGACGACTCATGCTGCAAATTACCGTACAACAAACACGGTTTTGCATTCACGTGTGTTTCCCTTCGAACGGATTTGAGAAAAATGAGAATAAGAGAAATGATGAAAACAATTCCGATTATATTTCTTTTCTGAATATTTGATCCATAAAATTCATTTCAGTTCTGCATTTGAACGTGCTTGAACTTGTTTCTCGGACGGTTTTCTCGTTCATTTATTTCTTAAAATTCTACCCATTAGTGTGCAAATGACTGTCCGATGTGAATGTTGAATTAGCCTATGAAGTGTGCCTGCCTTAGCCCCTTTTTTTATTTCCGTGTTCTCATCGTCCATTCCATGTTATTGCGGTAATCGTCTGATTTTTTCACATTTCTAACACAGAAATATGAAATTTGACAAAGAGCCCTAAACTGCAAACTTTCAACCAAATTATCAATTTTTCATGCGACTACCGCTATCCAACTAATGGATGGATTATACGCGATGTTTGGTGGAAATCACGTAATTACGCTGTACTCTCATTTTAGATCCACTAATTGACCTTAAAAACACACTGAAAATTATTCTGCCACCTACAAAAATGATGAAATTTTAATTGGCCCAATGCAAGAAGAATTATTGACATTACAAGAATTGAAAAATGCGCCAACAAGTGATTATTATTATTATTATTATTGTCATTGAACTGTTGATGCCGATTTTGCTCCATGCTAATGATTATTTCAATTTGAAGCCACGACAAGTTATTAATGCTAGTAAGTTTTTTTTCTTACTTTAAATGTTGAACTTTTCTTCCCATATGCGCGCATAAAGTAGTCACACACTACAGCTTGTAAATTAGCTAATGAGAAGGTGGAGAGTGAAAAATAATCACATTTTTCTCCTTAATTGGAACTAATTTTTTCTTTTCCACTCCACAGTATTTTATTTACTGTAAGCTAATTAATGAACAATGAGTGAATGCATATATTGAAATGAAATTTATGTTTGTCCTCTGTATCGGCCTTTTTGAGTATCTATCCATCCACCTGTTTCTTTCTTCACTATCATTTTAGCTTTAAGGATTTCTGCGTATTGCAATTTGATGCTTAGAGTAGAGGTCACAGTTGTTAGTTGCAGTAATAGTTAACAACTGTTTCGATGATCCATCAATTTTCCTTGAAACTGTCTCTCTGCTTTGCTGAACACGGTGGTTTATAAGTGGGCGAAAATGATATGAGGAGAATCGCATTTCTGTTTTATTTTATCCTTTTAAAATTTTAAAAAGTCATCCAAAGAGTGGAGATTGAAAAGTGTTTTGTTTGCAAATTTTAAATAATTGAATGACTGGAAAACGATGCTATATCAATGAAAATTCAATTCGAATATGGAAAAATCCCACGCAAATGGCGCACATCTCCATTTGCACTCGTTGCCTTCCTCATTCTAAAGTAACGTGACTGTGAAGAGGAGCGAGCACTGTTTTTACTTCTCTCGCCTGACAGTCTCGCTCCGACTATCAGTAAAGTGATTGTCAGCTCTTATCTTCTCGCTTCTCGTAGAAATGTTCAATTTGTAATGTTGCATTTGAAAGAATAGGAATTGCGAGGAACGGAACAGTCGCCTCGCAGAATTAGCAATCAAAAAAGCAGGGATTCTATCTTCCGTTCTCCGATACCCCGCGGTGTCTTTTGGGTCCTCTCAAATCAATGTCTGTCACATTAATCTGATTTGCGTGGCAGCATGCCAATGACCGTTGCTGACATACCAACGGTCAATAATAAATCACTGTTGAAGAAGCAGACAAGAGCAAAACTTTAAACTGATCCTGTGATTGACTGATTGGTTTGCCGGTCGATCGATCGATTGACTAAGTGGTTAATGATTCCTCTTATCGGTTATCATTTCATATTTCTACCCTTTCTAATCCATTTTCTCCTTCCAGTTCCATCCAACCGGTCCTTCTCCATCCCCACTTACTATTCCTCTTTTCCATCTTTCCTGCGCGCAGAACACGAGTGATAAGAATACAAGTTCAGTGAACTGACCTCAAAGACAGGGCGCAGAAAATTTTCTGTGATAATAGTTCCAAAGTTGTCTTACAGACCATCAAAAATGCCTTTTTCTCTTTTAAAATAAATCGCAAATTTCTTCAGTATCTGACCCCTGACATCGCCTTTCTAGAAGATGAATAATGCGTTATTTCATTTCCTTGTTCAAGATGGAAAGGTCAATTTGGGGTTGCTTCTGTCCCTGATTACAATAATTGCATCATTACTTCTTTGAATTTTGAAAGTGACAATTTATGAGAGAGACGAGAATGATTATCGTTGCGTCAAACCTTTCATCGTTCAAAACATTTCACTTCTTTCGCCAGTTTTCATAACAGCGTTTTCACTAAATTATCACTCATTTCTGTTAGAAACCCCAATGAATTTCAACATCTTTCAAATGAATTGGCAAATAATATCGAAACATTAACAAAAATAATTTCTGTTATTGTTTTCCTTCCGGTACAGTTCGTTATTTGAAGGAAAGTTAGTATTTCAGTTTGGAATACTAATTTTCACTTCACGTCTCATCACTTCGACACGTTCATGAAAACGTTGTCTGGAGTATCGAAGTTGCAGGTTCGTTCCACTTTTCCTGCAGAATTGTTCAATTAGCAGATGGTGAGTTATGGAACAAAATTGAAGTGAAAGCTAACATTCCATTTCATTTAAATGATCAGTGAATCACACAGTTTGCTTTTCACATTTCTGCCGCATGTCGACCGACGTATTTGTCTGTCGGAGCAAATCTCGTCCTCATTAACCCATCGATTCAGCAGTTTTGCATCTGTTCTCTTCCATCAGATATGCTTGCAAATAAAGGAAATTTAAAGATAGAAAATATTCCGCTGTTTTCTGCTTCCACAGGAAGTGATATTTTGAGGAGAAGGAGAATGTTTTGACATTTGAAACGGTTTTTTGAAGGTTTAAGCAGAAGAATACGTAATTTAAATAAAAGAACTGAGCACCTCGCACCAAAAATTTAGTCTTTTTGCATCGGCGAAGATATTAATAAGTTCTGGATTAACAGCTTATTTACGAATTTTGAAATATGGATGGAATTCTTTCTGCCTTCACATTTAGGAAACAATTTTTTGCCGGTCGGAAATTTATTTATGGTAAATTCTGGTTGGTCAGAAGAAATGTGGGAAAATTGGATTTCTGTGAGGTGAAATCTTCCGAATTCCCGCCCGAAAGTTTTATGACTTCAAGAAAAAAGTTAAGTCTCTCCTAACATTCATTTGACTCTTTTCTTTTCCGTTTTGTTTTGTAAACTGAAAAAGCAAATACAGAACATATATGTGAGTGAAAATATAATGCGTTTTTTTAAAAAGCGATTCAATTTCTTCCGTCAATTATCGTATGTTTGTCGCAGTTTTGCTTTAAAATTGATGAAAATCGAAATGAAAACTTGCACCTCTTAATATTTCCAGTTTTTTTACACTAGATAGAAATTATTCATGAGACTTCGAATATCTCGAATAGATGGACTAAGAATTTCAGGAACTTTCGATTTTTGAAATGTGGAGGCAAACATTTAGTCAAAATGAATGATAGATAACTTACAGATGTATAACTGATATCTGATTCCTGAAGAAGTACAATAAACAGTACGAATACAACTGCCATATTGTTTGTAACTTTTTTAATTTACCATTTTAATTTCAAACGTCCAAATTTCATTTGGCATTAAAATCTTTTAGGTCAAAAGCAACTTTTGGTGAACTGTTTACCTTCGATGTTAACAATCGCACATTATGTGTGTGTGTGTGTTCTTTTAATGGATATCGAAATGAATGTTTACCATTGATGGATAGTGAGAGTGAGTGACCTGTGACGCTTAAACACGAAAAACTTTTGTAGGGACTGTATACATATAAATATGAATAAAATTGATTTCCAAATTAAATCCATTTTTCCGACAATGTCCAGTGATTTGTTGATACTCGGTCTCTGTCACATGGTAGAACTGGGATGAACTGAAAACATTTGGAGAATCCATCAAGTTCAAAGTATTCAGAGAAGTATTCCCATTACCTGACCATGAATATTTTATCCTTCATTTCGTTATCAGATATCCTTCACAAAACGCCTGCCTATTTTTTGAGAAAAGCCAAAGCTCCTACTCTTCATTCATTCGAGCTTCATCGAAACTGTGCTGAATTTGTAGTGTCTAAAAAACAGTCTGGAAGTGTAAATTCTTATTATGACATCGATTTCGAATACATCTAAGAAGGTTGAATTGCTCATTTTGTTGGAGACTAAATTTTAGCAAAGAAGAAATCTTAAAATCGAATATTTGTCTCCTGGGATTTCTCAGTTCATCTTGTTTAATGGAAATGATTGCAAGGTCGTTGCATGTGTCAACTGCAACTTAAGAAACGGTTGCAATACATTTCTCAAGCTTTTGTCGACGTCCGTAATTTCACTTTCTAACTTTCGTCAAAGACGGCAGCTGCACTGCAAGTTGTTTCGATTTTTAATTTGCTTTGTTAGCCAAGAGAGAGCCTATCTGCGCTTATTTAGACATCTCGGCGACGAGCTAACTAGCCAAACCTCTAAATCTGTAGGTAAATCAGCAGTTATTGAAAGGAAGATAACTGTCAAGCGAAGAAAAAAGCTTAGGTGTGCTTCCGTTGGTGAAGTCAAAATTAAGAAAGAAGTAAGTTTTCTGAGTATTCTTTTCGGGAATAAATGGCACATTCCGCACGGAAGAGGGGGAAATGACGGAGCGGCAGCTAGTGGCTCCATCCTTTTCATTTATTTTTGAAAAAACATTCTATTAAATTGATACGTTTAAACAGCAAATTGACAAATTAGGAAGTGGAAAGAGAGAGAAGGAAGAAAGAGAATGAATAAACAAAGAATTAGGTGTACAGTTAAGGAACTGAACAGATAAAATACACTGAAATTAATATAAAATAACAGATAAGCAAGTGATTAAACGAAAAGTTTTAAAAGTCTTCGTTAACCTACTTTCTTTCTATTTTTCAAAGGTTATTTCGACGAAAACTTTTCATTTCCTGCTGTAGTAGAATTAAAATCCTTCGTTTAGTCTTTTTTGCAAACCGTTCGAATCATGGAAAGGTGCATCCCTGTGATCAATCACAAGGTCACTATCACGAAGTGCCAGTAGGGTCATTAATCGAAGATCAAAGGGTCCGGATAAATAAACTTCTCCAAAATATTGATTTTTCATTTTGATCACTGCTGAAAAAGAACGCTGTGAGTTCACTGAATCGTCCTACCAACAACCTGTCCAACGGATTGAACTGGATAAAACTGTTAGCAAAAGAAGTTGGTTTGAGCAATGTTCGTGATTAGGCCTGTTGCACTACCGCTTCCTTGTTTCCTCTAGCAAGGTGAGGGGAAAGTGGTCATATCAATCCCTAAACGTAACCGTTTCGCGGACAGTGTCAGTTTTTTTCTTTGCTTTAGCATTGAAATCGAAGCGTGCAAGTATTTTCGACGTTTGGATCGATTACCGTTATGTTCATGCAGAAGCTGGAAAGTTTGGTGAAATGATAATTCTCAGCATTTTAAAAATGCCCAGTTCATTTTTTTTTTAATTACAGCCTTAAGCCTAAGGGATATTATGTAGAATACGTGCACGTGTAAACAATATAAGGACATATGAAAGCGTTACATCGATATGACAGTAAATATGAAGTATTTCGTGCATCCTTATACGGAAACGTGCTGCAATGTGACTGCCATTCAGTATTAGCTTAGGAGTGACTCACGTGAGACTCGACATTTTAGAACTTTACAATAATTTGAATCTAGTGGGGAACTAATTTACTGTTGCAAAAACGAGATGTATGTATGCAAAACTGCTGAAATGCTGGAAGCATCTACATATCGCAGATCGAAACATTACGAATTTTTTACATTGGAAAAATAAATCTTCTCGAGTCAAATATTTCTTCTCATTTAAATTGATCACTCCAAGCGAGTCATTATTTTAGAAAAAAAGGAAAGAAATTTCAGTGTTTTCCGGAAGACGATTTACTGGGCACAATGGTGTGTCAACGTTGGAGAACGACTCGAGCTACTTCAAACTGTTGGAGGCAGATGGCGATTCGCTCCTCGTCGGTGCAAGGTAAATCCTTTCTTCTCTCTCCATCCACATAAGGAAACTCTGCTCTGCTCTCCATCAACCTCTGAATCACTGTTTTACATTTTAGTTTCACCTTCCATCCTTAAATTCCACCAATTCTTGGAAGTAATCTCCTCATTTTCAAACAGCCCAGCTAATGTCTCTCTAAGAGAGGTACCATTTCTTACTTTCTTCAAAAAGACATTAAAGAAGAAAGGAAAAGAAGAGTGAAGACGAAATTCACGAGTATTTCTAATGAACAAACACATTTTCTGTCTTCTTTAAAATTACTTCGTTGTGGACGGGTGCGCATATGACTGAAATGAGATGAACAGTTTTGGCTATCAAACATCTTTTAAGGAGTGCAAATAATGAGTAATTAGGTCTTTCTGTCCTTTCTCTCTCCAAGTATTTCCGGAACGGAAACGGATTTTCCTCCTCAAACAGCCTTTTCTGTTTGAAATAGCGAGAAGAGAAAGTTCGTTTCGAGCTACACATACATACTTATGTACGTATAATTCTAAAATCAGTGTCACTCGTCAGCACGAATCCCAATGAACTGTCAGCCTTCCTAAATTAATTTGGCATTTTAAGGCTTCATTTATTAGAAACGCCGCCCTCAGTCAATTGCATGGCAGAGAAAGCGTAGCTGACGAATTGAATAGCAAATTTCCAATATCTATTAAATAAACCTTAGCTTAATCGAACGGTCTCGGAAATAAGATGGGATGGGGGTGGGCATGGATCATAATGGGAACTGTGAGTTAGGAGCACTGATTTTTACCTCTCCAAAGAAGTTATTCATTTTTGAGGTTCCAATAAAGCATGCTACCGACGTTTTTCTGCACATGCTTAATTAGTGTTTATGAAGTTTAGAAGTGTGCAACTTTGATTCAAGCGATTTATCAAAAAACGAAAATTCTCGGATTTTTCTAATTTTAAAATCTTGGAAATTATGCTATAACCAAAATCCGTTATTTCTGTTTCAAATTCTTCTTTGTTGGAAGTTTACAAAAGTGAAAAGGAAAAGTTCATATGGCTGCCCTTACGATATTCCACGGTGATGGGGAATAATTGAAATTGATTGAAATCGGAAATCGTCCAGTGACGAACTTTGCCTTCCAAGGGGGAACTTTCTGTTAGAGAATTTCTTCGAGAAGATTGTGAGACAGCCATGTTCGACTTATAAATACTCCAACTTCATGAGTTGTTGCTAGCAATTATTTATGAAGAAGGAGAGGACTTTCTGATCTTTAAAATCATGCGAGAATGGAATGCGAACGAGAAGTGAAGTGAACTCAGTGAATGTAACG